TATAGAATAAATCACTAAAAAAAAAAAAAAAGTCGATGAAACCTATACAGTCTTTCCACTGGAGCTACTTTGACAAATACCCTAGGAATTTAAGAAAGAAAACAAGAGGAAAAAGTCAAGTCCTGAGACACCTATTTCTCTTTATATTTCCACCTGCATTTTTAATACTGGCCTGTTCTTTTTCTGTGGCTCCTCTACTTACCTATGTTCACCTACTAACTGGAATGGGATATGCAGCATGGTCTCCCTGTCCTTACTACTTAAAAACTCTTTCCTCTGGCCTTCTACAAAGCCTAGACAAAATATCCCAAAGTATCCTCAAAGTCTCCTAGAGATTCAAGACCAAGTAGACTCCATGGCCATGTTAACTCTTCAAAACCAAAGAGGGAGGCCTAGATAGTCTCATAACAGAAAAGGGGGTCTTGGGACCACCAAATGAAATAATGGTTGCATCTCTGGACTCCCACATATCCACCATGGTTTAAGTCCCGTACTCGGTTAATTAAAACTCACGCTGGGCGTGTGTGCATGCATAACCAAGATCCCAAGAGGAGAATGAAGGAGAAGGTATTGCAGTGTTGCCATGCCCCCTGGGGAGTGATTTCTTGCTTTCTGTCACTGTCTCTCTCCATCTCTCTGGCAAGTACAAGTACCCTATAGCATAATACCAAAAAAAAAAAAAAAGAGAGAGAAAAGAAATAAAGAGAGAAAAAGAAAAGGGAAAAAAAAAAGAGAGAGAGAAAGAAAAGAAATAAAGAGAGAAAAAGAAGTGGAGTCTCTGCCTCTTTCTGGCAGAAGAATGCTGCTTTCATCCTTCCCCTGGTTGCCCCCACTGTAATTCTTCTCTTAGTTTCTACAGACCTCCACTCCTAAAAATGTAAACTGCTTCATCTTAGATGCAATCCAACCATTGGCCCCAAAACAGGCTAAAAACATCTTACTGCTCCAGAGGATACAATATTCACGCCTGCCTCCAGAGGACCCACACCCTCCCAATCACCCTAAGGAACAACACCCTTTCTCAGCTTGAAGCAGCTCCAGAAGAATGACTATTGACCATAGTCCCTCACCCCACCCCATCATTTTTTTTTAATAAAAGATAAAGGGTGGAAATATTAGCCTTAGAATGGTCTTTAGGTAATTTCTTATCAGAAAATTAGGAGATGGCTGCAGCAAACTTTGGCCAGAATCCCTTGGCCAGAGCCCTCCCTTACTGGCAGCGATACCCATAGATGAGCCAATAAAGTCGTAGTAGCGAGTAAGCTAATCAAAGTACCCACCATTCTTGTGACCCTACCCCTTCACCCTTCCCGTATAAATACTGCACATGAGGTCTCCTCCATAGGGTGAGCTGAAGCACCTCCAAGCACTCTTTCTCTTAATAAACTTTTCTTTTCCTCTTGGGGAAAAAAACACGTTAGTAAAAACTTTTTACTAAAGTATGAGTGTATTTCGGCTCAAAAAAGTTTTTAATTCATGCATAGATTTTTCATATGCATTTTCCATAAACTTTTGTTTTGTTTTTGTTTTTTCTGGAGGGTTTTTTTTATAGACAGTGAATCTCTGTGTATCATTACAACACACCAAATGAATTTTCACATCATGAATACACTGCATGTGAGTCCAGGCAAAGATATTACCATAAACCATAAAATGACACAAAAATGTGGAAGGACATCCCATGTTCCTGAATTGAAAGAATTAATACAATCAAAATATCAATTCTACCCAAACTAATCTACATATTTAATGCAATCTCTACCAAATAACCAGAGAAATTCTTCCCAGAATTGGAAAAAAGAATAAGAATTTGTCTGGAATCATAAAAGACCCTATATTGTCTAAGCAATTCTATAAACTTTTTGAAGATTCCTCATGTGTTCTACCCTCAATTCTGAAGAATATCCTTATAGCAATACACTTAAGTTCCTAGTACTTTCTTCCCACATTTCTTTCGGAATAATTTTTTCCTGTTAATTCATCATTTAGAAATATCTATGATACTTTAATAATGGATAAATCTTTTTTTTTGCTTTTCTGAAGATGTACATGTTATTCTTAAATGATACTTTAAAAATTACAGATAATGACACTCTATTCTGACATTTATCATTGTTTTCATGAATCTGTTTTTACTCTGAGTTTTGTTCTTTGGTAATTTTGTGTTTTATAACATATTTAATTTTGACATTCTGCAATTTTTTTTTTGAGAGTTTTTTTTGCTATAGGGCGCGTGCGCTCGCCAGACAGACAGAGAGAGACATAGAGATAGAAAGTGAGAAATCACCCCCCAGGGGGGATGGTCACGCTGCAATCCCTTCTCCTCCATTCTCTTCTCGGGATCTTGGGCATGCACGCACACGTGCCCGGCGTGAGTTCTAAGCCACCGGGTCTGGGACGCGAACCGTGGTCGACCACGTGGGAGTCCAGCAACATAGCCATTACGCTAACTGCTGGTTCCCGACATTCTGCAATTTCACCATGTTGTGTCAAGCATGTGTTTGTGTATAACTATACAAGTGCATATGTTTAATTTAACTCAATTAAATGTATGAAATGCATCTGAATGAACAAATTTTTGCTTTCATCAATCTAGGCAAATGCCTCATCACTGTCTCTTCAAAATTTACCTATCCACATTGACTCATTCTCTCTGAATCTCCAAACGAATGGAAGGTTAGACTTATTTCTGTCCTCCATGTCTTTTATTTTCTTTTGGAGAGATTTTTGCTCTAGGGTGCTTGTGCTCACCAGAGGGACAGAAAGCGAGAACTACTGCCCACCTCCTCCCAAGAAGGGATGGCCACACTGCAATCCCTTCTCTTCCACTCTCCTCTTAGGTAAGCCCATACATGTACCTGGCATGAGTTTTAGGCTACTGGGTCCAGGACTCAAACGCAGCCAACTATGTGAGAATCCAGTGACGTGACCATGAAGCCATCTGCTTGTCCCTTTCAAGTCTTTTAACTTCTCTTTTTTTCTGTTGAAATTTTTTACTGTTTAGTATAGTTAAGATGTGCAATATAACTATGTGTAATATAGTTTTGATGTGCTTACCCACAAGGAAGCAATACTACAGTAGTCAAGTAAATAAACACATCCATCATGTTATTATCTTTCTCTTTTTTCTTCTATTTTTTGTGGTATAAGAAGCTAAAATCTACTCTCTTGTCAAATAATTAATGTACAATAAAATATTATTAGCCACAGTCCTCCTGTTATATGTTAGATACTTATTCATCCTACATAACTGCAACTTTGTACCCTTTCACTTACTTCCCACCTCTCTTCCCTACCCCTCACCCTGGTAACCACCATTTTACTGTCTGGTCTGGTCTCTGTTCCCATATAGTCCATTACTGTCCGTTACCGAAGAGACAGAGAGAAATGGAAAGAAAGCGAGAAATCACTTCCAAGGGAGAATGGCCACACTGGAATCCCTTCTCCATTCCCCTCTTGGGATTTAGGGCATGCATGCACACAAGCCTGATGTGAGTTTTAAGCCACCAGGTCTGGGACTCAAACCGCAGTCAACTGCATGGGAGTCCAGTAATATACCTACCATGCCATCTGCTGGTCCCTCCAATCAGCTTTTTTTAAAAAAACAAATAATTATTTATGTAACTCTATTATTTTCATTTATTTGTTTTATTTTGCTACAGGGCATGTACACTCACCAGAGAGAGAGAGAGAGAGGGAGGGAGAGAAAGAGGAAAGCAAGGAAGCAAGAGAGGGAAAGTGAGAAAGAAAGTCACCAGGTCTAAGATTTAAACCATGGTGGGTCATGTGGGAGTCCAATGCCTTGAACACCACGCCACCTGCTGGCCCATCCAAACAGCTTTCTAACCCAATTACTGACGTTTTCATTTCTGCAAGTTTGTTTTCTGTAGGTATTCATTTCTATAAGTTTGGTACCCACTAGCTTGGTTATTTTAAAATATTAATTTTTTTGAAGTTTATTGTTTTCTTCTTTAAGTAAGTGAGAGAGAGATAGAGCGACAGGCACCCCCAACAGTGTCTCTACACCATGATCCACTCCCAGCTCCAGTCAGCCCCAGTTCATGAGTGTGCATGCTTCCAGCACTTTCAGAGAAGGCTCTGAATGAGAACCTAGAACCTTCTACATGGGTCAGCCTCACAGTGTTACATTACCACTGCACCACCTTCCAGCCGTGTCAAATGATATGTCACATAACATTTTCTCATGTTTCAGATTTGTATTGAATTTCCTTAAGCAGTTTTAAACACACATATGGTATGTTCTGCTTTTCATGGTTAGAAAATCTGAAGTACTTAAGAGTTCTGGTATCAAAGCTTACTACTATCTTAGTCATTTATTTTCTCTTTTGCTTTATAAATTTGTATTTGCAATTTGATTTGGCAAGGAATCCTGTGAAGCTGGGATTTATGATGTGTAAATCCTCACTTGCAGTTCCCTACAGAGACTTTGCCAGATCCCTTTGATCTCTTTAAATTAATTTCTGGCTTAAAGTTGCTTTGGCCCTAGTAATAGTTTAAATTTAAATCCCAAATTTGCAGAGTAGTTTATTTTGTTCCACCTAGAGACTGGGCCTAGTGAGATTAGTTTGTTGTCTTCCTTAGCCAGAAATCAGACTGGGGTGATGCAGCATTTCAGGTGTGTCCCTAAGGATTCTGGCTTTGTGCAGAGGTCATTCTAACACCACCTCCCTCCTTGGCCTTGTCTCCTGTCCCTGCCCATAACAGCTAAAATACAAGCCCTTAGATTACTGAGATCACCAGAAGCTCCCCAGGGTAGCAACCATTTGGGCATTCATTCTCAACAAATGTTTTAGCCTTCCCCTTCATTTTTTGGCCTCTCAGATTCACTTTCTATTATTTGGAGTTTAGCTATAATTTTATAAAATATTGCTTGGTGTCTCTAATTCTCTTTGACAGCATTCCATGTGTTTTGCATAGACATTTATCAGATGAACTATACATCCAGATAGTTAGAAATATAAGTCATTTATAGCTGGTTGTTTTTCTTTTTCATTTTTTTCTTTTAAGGAATTTGCCATAGGCTGGAGAGTGACAGGAAGAAACACTGAGAGGGAAAGTAAGAAAGCATACTCCAAAGGGAATGGCCATGCCATAATCCCTTCTCCTCCCGGGATTTCGGGTGTGCATTTGTACCTGGCATGTGTTTCAAGCCACCAGGTCCCAGACTCAAACCATGGTTGGCCATGTGGGAGTCCAGTGCCTTAACCACTACAGCACCTGCTGGCCCTTGTTTTCTTTCTTAAATTGGCAAAAATATTAATTATAAGCACAACATTATCCCTCAAAATTATAGTCATGGGACCAGTAGGTGGTGTGGTGGTTAAGGTGGTGGATTCCCACATGGCCAACCGTGGTTTGAATCCTGGGCCTAGTGGCTTGCTTTCTCACTTTCTCTCTCTGTCTCTATCTCTCTCTCTGCCTGTCTCTCTCTGGTGAGTGTGTGTGTCCTAAATCAAAATTTAAATATTAATAATAACAAATAAAGTTAAACAATTCTTCAAAAATGAAATTATAGTCACAGTATACCCCTGAAGGGATGTGACAATAAAGGTAATCTATTTTCATTACTAAAATGAATAGTGCCAGAAAATTATTTATACTTATAACATTGACTTAATGGTGTTCCCAAAATATATTCAGAGAAACAATGCTTTTATTTCAGATTATTACCTTTGATTGGTGATGGAGTCTTTCTAAGAAAATGAAGTTTTGTTGTTCTCAGAGGAAATGGTTTTCCAACATCAAACTCTTTGACCAAATTTGATACAGTGTTCCAGAGATATTCATAATCTTTTGTAATGATAGTTCCCAAGTTCAAATGTAGGCCTATGTAACAATTTAAAACACTAAGTGTTAGAAGTTATTCAATCACACACAGAAGAACACACGTCAACTAAGTTTATGGAGCTCTGATATACTTGTTCAATAGTGAAATTTTCAGTTTCACACTGATCTAAATGAAAGTGGTCACTAATGTTGATTATAAGATGGCAGATTTTAAATGTATCTGTTTTTCTATTGATACCTAAGTATTAAAATTAGAATCACCTTAACTAACAATAACACATTGTGAATATTTAATTATTCTCTCAGGTAATATTATGCCACTCATAACTTTAAAATAAATAAAACTGAATAAAAACTATATTGAGAGATGACAAAATTGGTAGAGGATAGCTAAATGTAGCCAGTTCATTCCAATGCTTATAATACGAAAAATAAAACACTAAGGGTCAAAAAAGCTCCAATAATGCTTACTTCCAGTTCTCTCAAAATGACTATTTTTCTTTGACCATTAAGAAGTACCAAACAAAACTTATTTGAAGGGGAAAAAAAAAAAAAAGAAAGAAGGGTAAATTACATAAGGTATACAGAAATCTTTGGGGAAGAAATATAAATTCCTAAACATCTAATAGTAATAAAACGAATTTCATGAGGAAATATTAGGTATGTATTTAAATTAAAAATTCAACTATTACAATTTTATAGAAGTTCTAAACACACAAACACACATTTTTTCTAAAATAATTTCCAAGTGAAAAATTATTTTAAGTGAAAAAATTTAAATACACCATTCACTCTAATTGCAACTAAATAAAAACCTTATACATATGTATTTTAAAAGAGGAAAAATACGCTACATTATTCATTAGAAGTACAGGGAAAGTATTTTTGGAGTTTTAAATCACTTAAAACATTTATCTCTGGGTGAAAATATAATTATAATAGATTTAAGTGGTACCTTGAACATCCTCATTTTCATAGTAAAAAGCTATATTTTTCAACAAAGGCTCATCACTTAAATCACAAAGGTGAATTAAGTTTAGATTCCAAAATTCAAACATGTGTATATTTTTTAGAATGAAATAGTCACACCATTTCTTCTGAAAAGTGAAGATAATATCAAGTTATTGGCAATTGTTTTATTAGCAGTAAACTATAGAATGATTTCATACATTTTTACAATCCAACTGAAAGGTGAATAACTAGAGCAGATTCAGATTTTACCAGTGTAAGCCCATTTAGGTTGGATAATAATAAACACTCTATACTCTAAAGATTAAAGCATAAAATAAAATCAAAACTGACCAACAAGTAGTCAGTACAGTTCTTAATTCTAAATCAGAGGAAACTATATTCAACTATTTTCCTCACACTGTAATCCACATATAAAGACCCAAAGCTACAGAAATACTTTCAAATGTGCCTCAAATGTGCCTCAGTTCTTACTAGATTTTAAGGTTTTTCAATTTTATTTTCAGGTCTAAAGAGCCAATTTTATAGTTTTTTTTCAAGTTTCTTTATATAGTTCTTCCATAAGCAAAGGCTCTATGGCATGCTCCAACCCCAACCCAGACCACTCCAGATCATGGGCAAACATGTGCCCATGATACTCATTCTCAGGGCAGGGAGGTCTCTGGACTTTTGAACACAGTACCTCTCCATGTGGGATGATTGCCTCCCAGACCATCATATTTTACCACTGAGCTATGTCTTGCCCCTTAAAAAAGCACATTCAATAGTTTAGGGATCTAGAGCACAATGAATCCTTGAAACTCAAAGATTTCCATCAATACATCAGGCTTATGACAGTGAGACTATCTTCCTGGCTAACACAGGCAAATGGTTTTCACTAACCATATTTAGTTTGGAGTAGAATAAACACAAGGGAGTGACGTCGTGAGTGTAAGCAAGCCTTCCGTCAATGATAGCATCTGGGGAGTTGATACAGAGACTGAGGCTTCTCTGCCCCACATTCCCTGAATAACAAAATGTATTTCCCAGATTGGAATAATTCGTTTATCTGTATTGATATTGAACTTCAACCCAGTGTTGTACTTTAGAAATGTAATATGGTCAAGCCTCATGATGTTTTAAATTTTCTAAAAGTAACATTTTAGAAAATGCTAAAATAAATTTAAACTTTATATTTTGGTTAAGCCAACATGTCCAAAATATTATCATTTAAGCATATAATCAATATTACATTACTATATTAACAAGATAAGTTACATGGTTTTCATACTATGTTTGTAATATCAGGTATTTCTTTTAAATTTATAGCTCATCTCTTTGTATGCTATAATGATGTATAATAAATGAATAAAAATAAATAAATTTAAATTAAAAAATAATAAACTTCTATCAGAAGAAAAAAATTTTTTTAAAATAAATAAATTTATAGTTCATCTCAACCCACACTACTCACACTTCAAGTGCTCAATATCTATTTGTGGCTCTTAGCAACTGCATTTGACAGGCCAGCTCTAAGTAGATAAGTTAGGGATACAGCCCAAGATCCATGATCAAGTTATAAATATCAAAGAAGCAGAAACCTCCTGCCAGTAATGTAGTTTTATCTACCAATGAAACACTGAAGAGTTCCACAGAGTCATAGAGGTGGTTCTCAAACTTTAGAAAAAGTCTCACCCAAGGACCAGCAGTTAGCGTAATGGCTATGTCGCCGGACTCCCATGTAGTCAACCGTGGTTTCGGTCCCGAACCCGGTGACTTAAACTCACACCAGGCGTGTGTGCGTGTGTGCCCAAGATCCTGAGAGGAGAATGGAGGAGAAGGGATTGTGGCGTGGCCATCCCCCCTGGGGGGTGATTTCTCGCTTTCTGTCTCTCTGTCTCTCTCTCTGTGTCTTTCTGGCAAGTACACATGCCCTATAGCAAAAAACTTTTTTTTTTTTTTAGAGAAAAAAAAAAAAGTCTCACCCATAAAGGTTTTGAAATAAAATACAGGATACTGGGCATCAGTCCCAGAATTTCTGATTCAGTAGGTCTGGGCTGGGATGGGATTGAGATGGGGGATGCTAAGGAATTTGTCTAAGAAATTTCTGTGAACTTTCCAGGTGCTGCTGATGCTGTTAGTCAGGAAACCATGCTTTAAGAACCACTGCTACATTAGGTTTTTTTCTCAATCCCTTTTCCATAATGCCAACAGCAATATGTGAAAGCAGTCCAGCCATAAGCCCTCATTCTATTCACTTTGGACAAGAAGTGCCTCTGGCGTGGTTTCCACAGGTCAAGATTCAGAGTAAACTTTGTGGAATTATCTCTTCAACAATTTTCTTAGTTGCTTTCTCCAGAGCCTCAAATATAACTTCAAGGTTACCTGAGATTACAGGTATCAGGTGCTACCATAAACGTAGGCTCCTCAGTGGTGGTGTTAATTATGTGCCATGACAGCAGGGCCACTCCATGTATCTTACTTTATACATGAATATTATTGGGTTGTTGGAAAAGTCATAATGCATTTTTCTACATTTTTCTATGCAAAAATGTGTCATGACTTTTCCAATGACACTATTTTGACAAAGGATGCATAGAATGTGCCATATTCCCATAGAAACCACCCCCAAAATAAGTTAAGAACCCCTAAGTAATTTCTGTCATTCTGACACCCTTGCTTACTGTAGACAAGAAAGTGACCAAGTGAAGACTTCTATGATAAACCCTCGTTCTTCCCTGATAACATCACCTCCGCTGTGCACCATTTTTCACCTCAGTTCTAAGTAGAAATGATGTCCTCATCACTCCCCAATTTATTACTTCCAAACTATTCCTCCAGCCTAGTCTATAAAGTATATCTTCATTCTCACTCACTGCTGAAAAGTCTTTGATACCACACTCATTCGCCATGCTTCCTGCTTGGTCCTCCCCCCTTTAATGATGAAGATTTTTGTACCTTGTTCACATTCTTCCTCTTTACATCAGTCTAATCATGGAGAAATTCATCAAGAATTTCAACTTCAGAGTAGACAATTATCTCAACATTTCTTGAAATTCTTCTGTCTAGTGACCTCCAACACCACTACTCTACCCCAGTTTCACATTCTCACAGATACACTTTAATTAATCTTTTAATTATGATCAATAATAAGTGCTTTTTCATTAAACCCAATGTATTCTTTTCAGTCCCAGCACCCTACAATTCTCTGTAGCATTTGATACTATTGACCACACTCATCTTTTGAACTGTCCAGTTTCTTCAACCTTCAGGATAAATTCATTCTCCTGAATTTCTTTTCCATTCATCTAAGCAGTTAATTCACAGTGTCTTTTGCTAGGGTCGAACCTACACTTAACTGTTTAATATTGGAATATCACTGGTCTCTAGCCTAAGTCCTCTTATCATATCTCTCTAAAAATAATTTCACTTATTTCCATAGCATCGATTAACATAATCTAATGATGTCTACATTTTTTTCTCCAGTGCATTTCACTCTCCTAAGTCTAAACTAGTATTTCATATTGCTTACTAGATATTTCCATATGACTATTTCACTGGCTCTTAAAACTCAATACAGTATTTCCAAAATTAAACTCATGATCTTCCTCCACAAAATAGCCCTTTATTCAGTGACTGTTTCCCCACAGTGCTGTAGCCAGTGATCTAGAAATCATTTGACCCCTCCCTTTCCTGTACCACACACTCAAATCACGAAGCTTGTCAATTGTCTACCTTAAATAACTCTTGAAACTGTCCACTGCTACTTATCTTTGCATACACTTCCCTAGTCCCTAACACCATCAACACTTATATGACCAAGGTAACAGTCATCTAATTTCCCCAAATCCACTCTATTTGTGCTTCTACAGTGAACTGTATATAAGCCATAGGGGTATGCACTTAACAGAAAGAGGGAAAATAAGAAATCACTACCCCCCCAGGGGGGATGGCCAAACCACAATCCCTTCTTCTCCAGTCTCTTCTCAGGATTATGGGCACTCATGCACATACAGCCAGTGTGATTCTCAAGCCACTGGGTCCAGGACTTGAACCATGGAAAACCACGTGGGAGTCCAGCATCTTAGTCGCCATGCTACCTGCTGGCCTGCTCAAAACAATTTTTTTAATGAAATATGTCTCATCTGCTTGAAACCATTCAGTTGGTTTCCATTGTGTATATGATCCAGTTATATCCCTAAATAGGCCCCAAAAGTCTTATATAGACTCTTAGCCACCTCTTCCACTTCATCACTGCCCCATATTCTTTCTATTTCTGTCACTCTAGATATATCTCAGTTCTTTGGTCATGCCATTCTCAGGACAATCACACATGTTGTTTTATCTCCTAGAATCCAGTTTTCATTTTCTCTCCATCCTGCTCTTACCTATCCTTCAGGACTTTATCACTTCTTTTCATTTCTCAGGAGAAACCATTCTTTTTAGATGGGATTGAATCTTTTTTACTATTATAAGATTAAAGCATTCTGTGCGTTCTTTTTTAAAGTCATTTTTAAATTCAATATAGGCCAACTTTAGAGAAGCCAGATCATACATGGTGACCACAGTGGGCATGGGAGTGCCCAAGCTCTAATGGGCTGGAGGACTGGAGGAAGGCGATAGTAGTATGGCCAGACCTTGTGGAAGGTATTCTGTCTCTCTTTCTCTCTCTCACTTTCATAGTACAAGCACATGCTTTATCATGAATAAACAAAAAACAGGTTAATTAAAATTTATTTTTAAAGTCACTGTCTGTCTACTTGACAAAATGCAGCTCTATAAAGGAGTTGATTTATGGGACGGTCATTTTTTTAAAAAATCTATCCAAGTGATTATCTTAATGTAGGCACACTAGTTAAACATGTTTGGACTGGTTTCCAGACTATGAAACACTTTTCTTGAACTTTTGCCTATATGCTGTTGAAAACCTTAGAAAAAGTCCATGTCAGCATATTCTCTAAATCCTATTTCTAGGTATCATTCCAAAGACAACTACAAATTTAAAAAAAAAAGCTCACACACAAAAAAGAATAAGAGCATCTATAATACAATCGATGTCTTAATGTCCCATGATAGAGTAATGAGTAAAATAAATCATAGTACATTCATTAAACGATAACTACTGGGTCATCAAAAAAGTCATGACACATTTTGGCATAGAAAATAACTCTTCTGACACCCCAATAATAGCCATGAAAAAAATTATAGTAATCAATTTTGTGAAAGAAAATAGAAAAATATGTTAAAATGACATATACGTGTGTGTTTGTTATATATAGTTCCAATGTAAAAGAATAATAAACAGAAACATCCATGTGGCTAAAATAAAGAGAATAAATCAAGATATTAACAATTACTATGACTAATTTGTGTGATAAGCCTCTGGGCAAGTTTTGTTTTGTTTTTGCTTTCTAATTTCATAAAGTTTGAATTTTCCCTAGTTATTACTATAATGGTTAAAAATAAACTATTTCATTTACCTCTTCATTTTCTCTCAAGAACAAAATGCAGTGATCACCAACAATTTTCTACAAATTTGATGACACAATAACCCAACCTTGACAGATATTTGAAAAATAAAATATAGAGAAGCTTTTATTCCCAAGTTAGATATATATCATGTTATTTGTTATTACTACCAAATGTATTTGTTTAAAGTAACAAGTGATTTATTTAGGCTGTTAAATCTTTAATACCTCCCAAAGGGTCAATACTATTCCCACATAAATCTCTCTTAAGGTTATTGTGGTTTTATCTATAAAAAAATAGTTGAACACCCAAAAAAGCTAATAAAAAGTATATTTACCATTTGTAAGAGAGTGTGAATGTCCTTATTCCAATGTGAAGTGATGAATCTAGTACAAGCTCTTTGAGAAAGAGGTAAGTGGAGTAGAAAAACCACACTGAGACAATACAGTTTACACAAATCTTCCATCTCCTTCAAAGCTAAGGAGTTTTTCTTTTCCTGAATAAAATTAAAAGGTAAGCCAGAGAAGCACAGGTGGTGGGTTCATTACAAATACTCAACACTGCAAAAAACCAGCAACCATATTTGCTACACAGGAATGGCACGTTACTGCATTCTTCAATCTACATTTTTGAGATAACTCATTTCTTCTCATATGAATTTGACTGCATTTATAAAGATATGAGATTAAGGGAGGGCTAGCCAGCTTAACAGCAGTCAACATAAAATATTTTTCAAAACTTTCAGGTAAGTCAAAGTTGATCAAGCAGCTAATGAAGTCATAATCCCATGGGACTCGGCAGAGATGGAGCCAAAGATTAATTGTTCTGTTTTGTTCAAGCATGGTAATTTTTAAGTGATACTGAAAATTAACAGGGTGTGAACACCATGATGGCAAAATATCTAAAAGCTGTACCCAATGAGAGCAAGAGTAAAGAAGTGGACACAATTAATATTATAGGACAACAACATCATAGCTCTCTTCAAATGTTTGCAGGGTTGTCAGTGAAGCAACATAGCTCTCTTCAAATGTTTGCAGGGTTGTCAGTGAAGCAAGAGTATGACTTCCTCAGGGCATCACCATAGGACCAAATATGCTTTACTGATCAGATGTTCTACAGAGACAGATTTGACTTAGCATCATTCTTTTTAAGAATGATCTAAAATAGCATGTCTAATTATGTAGAAATGTTTCACTAAAAATACATTCAAAGAGATATTGGAAAACTAAATGTAAAGGATGCTAAGTAAAAGATGGTAACCCTGTTTATTTCTGACATTTTGGAATAAAGACACAATTTTTTTTAATAGAAATGTAGTCAAGAATCCCCCAGGATTCAGATCATGTACAAAACCATGTGTGTACACGTGTGTGTCTATGTGTATGTGTATGCAACGTATAGGCAGAAACAACTCTTTAGCTGAGGAAATAATCCAGATTGGTCAACAGATTCTTAATCCACTCTCTGACTATAAAGGTTAAGAACTTTAGTATTTTCCCAGCTAGGATGAGACCAGAAGACTATAGTAGGAATGTTGTTTCAAAAGACAGTTTGGGGCTCAGCAGGTGGCATAGAAGTTAAGGTGCTGGATTCTACGTGGTCAGCAGCGTGGTTCAAGTCCTAAACCCCGCAACAAGCCAGGCATGTGTGCACACATGCCCAAAATTTCGAGAGGAGACTGGAGGAGAAGGGATTGTGGAGTGGCCATTCCCCATGGGGGAGTGACTTCCCATTTTCCCCCTCTCTCTCTTTCTCTCTGGTGAGCATATGTATCCTATAACTATTATACATATAAATATAGATATAGATATATAGATATAGATACATAGTTTGGTATTGTGGAACTTGGACAAGATAGATCAAGTTCAATCTACACTATTCAATAACTTCATCTGAAGAATGTTATGTGGATAACAATCCTTCCCATGAAATGCCATTTTGAGAATTTAATGGCACATTGCATATAAAAAACACAAAACACAGTGATACTGTAATCTCCTAACAAGTGTTAATTTCCTTTCTTTCCTCTCTCTTTGAGTGACTGGACAAATTCCACTAAATATTTATTTAGTGGAACATCTGTATAGTAAAATTTTAAATAATGTATAACATTATGTGTTTTCTCATAAACTCTAGATTTTTATTTCACCTTTAGAGTTTATATAAATACATTAAGAAAAAAAAAAGTACCAAGAAAAGAAATGATAGACACAAAATCAACAAAATTTCAAAACCAAAAATAAAGTTATAACAATGATACCTTTGGGATGCTAGTTTTTTTATCAGATGTGGTTTCCTTTTTGTTTTCTAAAAAGCGATGGTACATTCTCAAAGACAATGAACATGAAGTAACACAAAGGACACGTCGAATATCAGATCCTTCTGGCCAGAACTGCTTAAGCAAAGATAGAGTCTCACGTGTCTGTCAAAAAAATAAATAAATAAAGGCAAAATATCATGATATTTAGAAAAAATATCTTTACTCATGAGGTGTTCTTACCAGAAGAAATCACACCACAAAATAGGCATATTTCCATTATAAGCTAAAAGAAATAAAATTTTTAAGTGGAAATAAATCATTACAACAAATATTCCAGTGAAACCATTAAATACAAGCATTAATAAATTTATAAATTGAACCTCATTAGTAATTAAAGTTAAAGTATTTTTTAATAATGGCACTGGAAATCGTGTAATGTGTCATTTCTTAAATACTTTGCTAATAAGAGTATAAATATGCACAAACTTACTGCAAAACTATCTGAAAATATATATGATTATTGTTAAATATATTGATTATTTCTGAATCATTATTTAAATTTTATTAATAGCTATCTAGTCCAGGCAAATAATTCAAAATGTGAACAAAAATTTATGCATCAGTATGTTTATCACAGAATTATTTGTAAGAGTTGATTTTCAAATAATTTAAATGTTTAGTGTCAGAGATATGTTATTTATCCATTTTCAAAAACCTGAGAAAAATTTTGGTGAAATTTAAAATATTTCTATAATATTAATTGTTAAAGTGAATAGAAAGGTATATGTGAAATGTTCTGAACTGTGTAAAAATACATACAACACCACTGTAAGTTTCTACCTCTAAGTGGTCGTATTATGAGGAATCTTCATATAGAGTCTGAAATGTATTCAGAGAAATAAGACTATGACATGATGAAATCTAGATAGTAGACTTTATTAACGAAATTTAAGTCACTCTATATTCCAGTGTGATCCACTGGATTACTCACATTTTTATATTGTTTAATTTATTGTATTCTTATAAAATAAATACTCAGTAGTAATTACTGATACGAATGAATGAATGAATGAAAGGTAGATCCAGGACAGCTCTCCCCTACAGTAAAATTCCAATGAACTAATGTATAAGCAAATAGTGAAATAGAAAATCATAATTAAACTAAAACATCACTGACAACTGTTGTAGACTAGATTTACTGATGGACTCCAAAATTAATCAGTAAACATTTGAGAAGAAAAAGGATTTTCATAGTCATAAAGTGTCTCCCCCCCCCCAGATATTTATTAACTCTGAAGCTAAGAGAGTAACTTTATAGTGAAAAAAGCTATCAGGCACCACCTTAACCACTGTTAGGGCACACTAACATTAGGAGCCCTCTGATACGACGCACTAGGACACAACATTAGTTGAGTGACATTCTTGCCAAACAATGCATGACCTCATTTCATTCATGAAAAAAATATCAGATAAGCCCAAATTGGAAAATATTTCTAAAATAACTAATCAATAGTCTTCAGAAACATCAAAGTCATGAAAAACAAGTAAGACTGGAAACTATTACAGACTGGAAGAGAACTAGACAGACCATTAAGTGGATGCAGTATCCCAGTAGAATACTGGAACACGAAAAGGTCATTAGAGGAAAAGTCAGTGAAATTCAAATGAGGCCTGAAACTCAGCTAATAATCTCTTAGCAATTTTAATTTCCTGATTTTGATAAATGTACCATAGTTACATATGACAGTACCAAGAAGGGAAGATGGGAATAGGTACTATTCACAACTTTTCTATAATTAAGACAATTAGTTCGATGAAAATATTTTTAATAGTTTCATTACCTCATCCATCATATTTTTCCATTTTAATTTTTCAAAAAGAGGTGTTAATGCTAAATCTCTCTTTATTTCCAATTGGTTAAGCAGGGTTTTATAAGCACCCTGAATCATCTCTTTATTCTGTAAAATAAGAGAAAGTCAGGTAAATTGTCATAAGCAAAATATTTAATCATTTTCCAACTATAGAAAATCAGATATTTTTGATAGAATTATGTCAAAATATATTTCTATGTTTAAAAATTAATGTAATTGCAGGCTGTCAGCAATGTTTATAAAGTCCCACGAACATCACTATTTTTTCTTTGCCAGTAATTTTTGTCTAGGAATACAGTACATTTTTTGAATTGCTGGAGGGTGCATATGCTTGCCAGAGAAAGAGACACAGAGATGGAGAAAGTACTCCCCCAGTGGGCGTGGTCATACTGTAATCCCTTCTCCATTTCTCTGTCTCATGGGGATTTTCGACACCCATGCACACATGCCTGACACGTTTTTCAAGCCACTAAGGTCAGGTTCTGAACTGCAGTTGGTCCTTTGGGCCCTGGCTCCCATAATCAGTAGAACACAGAGCCAGTCCCATTTTTTTTTTTTTAACACCATCATGAAGGTATGCTTAACAGCTTACAATTCATTCATTTAATGTGTCTAATTCCATGGCTTGTATTACTGAGTCATACAACCACTATCACAATCTAATTTTAAAACATTTCCAACAACCCCCCAAAAACCAACAATTTTATTTAATGAAATACATGTTATTATGATAGATTTCAAACCTACACATAAATGGACAATAAAATCTCCCCACAAGTATCTCTCACTCAGCAGCAGTCATTTATCAACACGCACTGCATTTTTAATTCTATTCATGTAATCCTGAGATTAGTTAATAAAATAGCCTTTTTAAGGTGAATATTCAACAAACTGGGGAATAAACTATTTTACCCAAAATAAAAACTCCATCAAGGGAACCAGCAGTTAGCGTAATGGCTATGTCGCTGGACTCCCACGTAGTCGACCGCGGTTCACGTCCCGGACCCGGTGGCTTAAAACTCACGCCGGGCGCGTGTGCGTGCGTGCCCAAGATCCTAAGAGGAGAATGGAGGAGAAGGGATTGCGGCGTGACCATCCCCCCTGGAGGGTGATTTCTCGCTTTCTGTCTCTATGTCTCGCTCTGTCTGTCTGGCGAGCGCACGCGCCCTACAGTGAAAATCTCTCCAAAAAACAAACAAAAAAACAAACAAACAAACAAAAAACTCCGTAAAAAAAATTATTCTTAAAGAGTCACTGGGCAGGATGCCAAAAAACAAGTAGGGCACTCCTTTTTGTTTGTTTGTTTGTTTGTTTGTTTATTTATTTATTTATTTATTTATGTATGTATTTATTGCCAGAGGTCACATATGCTGGCCAGAAAGAGAAAGGGAGAGAGAAAAGCCTACTCCCTGGTGAATGGTCGCACTGCAGTCCCTTCAACCTTCCCTCCCTCCTTTTGAAAGTTTGAACCCACACACATGCACCCAGCATGGTTCTCAAGCTGCTGGGTCCAGGACTTGAACTGCATAGTCAGCCATGTGAAATCCAGCTACCCCAACCACCAGGCCATGAAGCTAGCTCTGTAGCACACTCTTAAGATTCAGATTTGGAGGACCAACTGATGACGTGATGGGTAAGGTGGCTGGATCTCACATGACCAACTGCACAATTCAAATACCAGACCTGATGGCTTGAAAGACATGCCAGGTATGTGTGCGTGCATGCCCAAAATCACAAGAGGAGAATGGAGAAGAAGGGATTAGAGAATGGCCATCCCCACCCCAACCCCCGACATGCTTTCTCACATTCCCTTGTGTCTGCCTTTGGCTAGCGCAAGTGTCCCATAACAAAGCTAAAATAATAATAATAATAATAATAATAATTTTTAAAAAGCAGATTTGAAAATTGCCTTAACAAAATAAAATGAGATCAATTGATAACAGTACTACCTATATAAAAATGGGTCCCAGGACTGGTCCTGCTCCCTTAGGCAACCAGAGTTGAAAATAGTTTACTAACAGGAGTACCAAGTAAAGAAAATCAGCCATCACTCTAAGAGAGCCATCCGGACATCTCCCAGTATGGCATAATTCTCAATGACTAATGTTAATCAACTCAAATTATTCTGGTGAAAAATAAAATGATCTTCATATTCAGAATTCACTATAAATACTGAAAAAATGAACAGACACTAGATTTATTTATAAAGTCAATATTCATTTTTGACTCATGAGATTCCAAAACAGTAATTATTTCTATTATTCAAAACAGTAATTTAAAAATATACTGATATAATAAGATCATGGAATTAGAATTCTAAAATCTTTGCAAATTCTCCAAGGAATGACTTCATATTAAGAAATAAACTTCAGTACTTCATTTTCACTAACGTTCTTTACCATTTCCTCATTAAAGGCCATCAGATTAACTATCATTTCACGATTAGGTCTCAGCATACTAGTGACATGATTTTGCCTCCACTCTAATTTCTCGTGTTCATTATTTAGAGTCCCTATATCACACACAGTTAATGACATAGGAACTAGAGTCCAATGGGAGTCCATAACCCACACAGTTAAGGACATAGAGACTAGAGTCAGATGTGTCTTTTCAAATCCACGTTCTACTGCTTCTTTGGTGTTCTTTAGTAGATTGCTTATTCAGTATCTATTTCCTCATCAGTAAATATATAATACTAATACCTATTTTATGGGATTACTGTGGGTTTAAATAAAAAAGACTCATGAGAAATACCTAGCAGTACTGTTAAAATAAGTGCTGCGTCCAGCAGATGGCATAATGGTCACATCACTGGACCCCCACATGACCAGCTGTGGTTCGAAGGTCAGACTTGGAGGCCTGAATCTCATGCAGGGCATGTATGCATGCATGCCCAAAATCCCGAGAAGAGAATGGAGGAGAAGGGATTGTGCCATAGCCATCCTACCTCAGGAGTGATTTCCCACTTTCTGTCTCTTTGTCTCTCTCTTGTCTCTCCAGTGAGCAGATACACTCTATAACAAAAATCTCTCAGGGCCAGCATTTAGCATAATGGCTATGTCGCTGAACTCCCATGTAGTCAAACATGGTTCGAGTCCCAGACCGGTGGCTTAAACTCACGCCAAGCGCGTGTGCGTGCGTGTCCAAGATCCTGAGAAGAGAATGGAAAAAAAGGGATTGCAGCGTGGTCATTGCCCCTGGGGTCTGATTTCTCACTTTCTGTCTCTGTCTCTCTTTCTGGCGAGTGCACATGCCCTATAGCAAAAACTTCTCCAAAAAAAAGAAAAAAAAATCTCTCTAAATAATAAATGCTTTAAAAATGACTGCATTTTTATAATTAATTTATTACTAGTAGCAGTAGTATTTTTTAATGGAAATTAAACCCATGAGAACTTCCATGAGGAGGTGGAAAGAACATTGCATCAAGTAATTTGAAAATGCAGTAAAATTCGAGAAAATTGTCTGTTAGATATAAATTACCTTCTTAAGAAGATCCTGGTTTTTGTGAGTGCTTGGCATGAAGTATGCATAGAGTCGCAGAATATCAGATGCTTGCCCTGAAAAAAGCACAGCATTGATCTTCATTGACCAAGAGTGAATGATTAGTAAGTTGAAAAGGTGAGTTTGTAGAGAGTTTAGGCCTTCATCTGCAACAATCAGGAAATACGGATAATTCTCTTCCAAGAACGTTTCCCACTCTTCTGATAGGCATCCAGAAAAGTCAGTTCTCACGTCAACAGTGGTATTCTTCTGAAGGTGAAGAATTAGAGCAGTTCGCAAAGGAAGAAGCTCAGGGAAGCTGAAATATGCATACTCAGCATCCTGTGGAAGACAGAGGGTGTTGTACATTATGTTCAGCTAATGGTTTAGTATTTATTAATTTGGCTAGTTAACGCCTATCATTGAAAGAATAAACTTGAATCAGTTTTGTTCTGTCCAACAGTCAGGGAATATATCCTAAAATCCTGGGCTGTCACTTCACAATACACACCGTAAGTCATAACTTGGATTTAAAAACATGTTTCTCAGGGCCAGCAGGTGGCCTGGTGGTTAAGGACGCTGGACATGACCAACTGTGGTTCAAATCTCAGATATGGCAGCTTGCTTTCTCTTTTTCTCTCTCTCTCTCTCTCTCTCTCTCTCTCTCTCTCTCTCTCTCTCTCTCTGTCCCTCACTGGTCAAATTATAAATAAATAAACAAATAAAGTTAAATAAACTAATTCTTTTTAAAAAATATGTTTCTCCCTTAAGTAGATACAAAAGGTCAGGGTTTATCACACTTTCTCTTCCCACTCTAATGCTTTTGCGCTTCAATCTCACTTCAAAAGTTAAAAAAACACAGATAAGTATGTGAGAAGTAAGCAGTGGGGATAAATTATCTAGAATGGGAAGTAGGTGAATCACTTTGTTCTGGAGGATTGTTCCAGACTATCACAATCCTTATTCAGCAAGATGGGTTTTTCTCAGCAGGCCAGAATCTGTGAGTCAACTGCACTGCAAATGTTCAAACCGAACCCTAGCTTTATCCAAAACACTGCTGGCATGTTACATAACAATAATCTGGATTGCAAAATGATTTAACAGATTCACATCAGACTCCTTTAGAGTTATTACTACCTTTAGGATTAGGAAGAGGTGGTATGGTTTCCTTTAGAGTTATTACTACCTTTAGGATTAGAAAAAGATGGTATGGTAATATACATATACGTTTGAAATTGTTAGAATTTTATTAATTATATTCATAATAAAAAAAAATATAGCCTTCCCTTTGAGGTGTATACTATAGAGTAAACAATAACAAATTGGGTTAGTAAGTTTGCCTGGGCGCAAATATGTTTCATGTTGGTCTCAAGTAAATTTATTGTTAAATTTGGGAGACAAGAACAGTTCTCAGAATTAGAGGACTAAAATCTGGAAATCCACTGGGCCACTGTTGGGAATTCTCATCCCCCTTCAATATCTCGTGAGTCCTTATAATAAAGTTCCATTATTGCACATAAAAAATCATCTTAAGTGTAGCAATTTATGAATACTGGTGCTGTAAGTGACTTTTCCCTTAAATTTTCTGCAATTTTATTGATACATTTTATTTTATCCTGTAATAAGGGAGGAAAGCTATATGTAAAGCCATGTACCAGCAGGTGGCATGGTGCTTGAGACCATGGACTCCCATGTGGTGTACTGCAATACAAGTCCCAGACCTAGCAGCTAACTTTCTCACTTTCCTTCTCTTTCTTTCTCTGATGTGTGCACGGGCTCTATAGCAAATTAAATAATAATGATAATAATGATAATGATAAATAAAATTAAATAAGTAATTCTTTTTAAAAATTTAAGGGATTTTCATTTTCTCTCTCAATGATAGAAAAGAACATAACAGTCTCATGTTACCTTGAAGAAAACTACGGCAAATTGTCCTCCTTTACTAATTAGATCCACAAGATAGTGCTCAACCAAATAGAAGAAGTGCAGATTCTGCCCCTGCTTTAACGATCTCGCACATACACATGTGATAAGTAAGGAATCGCCGTCAATCAGAAAAAATTCAGATTCAACAAAATCATTGAATAAACTGGAATAGCTAGAATAAAAGAGTTAAAACAAAGTTACATATGGATTAAATAATTGATCAGAAAGGCAGTAGCCTTGTTATGATTATTTCATAATCTCTATCATCAATAGGCTATACTTGGTGAATAATTAGTTCATGGCAGGCTTTAAGCAAATACTTTTCAAATATATCCATGTGCACAACTACCCTCCACAGGAGAAAGGAAGATCAGTCCGTTTTATAGATTAGGAGATTATATAGAGTAAATCATCTAAGGCTATATGGTAGAGCCTGGATTGGCCTCAGGAATTCAATACCTACATTCTAGATAAAGGTCTACATTATACTTCCTTCTTGTTTAATCACCCCCACTTCCTTATCAAACAATGAGCTGCTGTTTACAAAAAAGGCAAGAAAATATGCATACACCATCATACAGCTCCAAAAGTACTATGTTGAACACTCATACACACACATGCACGTGCATGCACACAGGAGGTGATTTCAAAAAGTTAGTAGAAAATAGAATTAAAATACTAATTTATTTGGTGCAAAAAAGATATAATTGAGTGCAACAAAAAAAAGTAAAGCAAATAAAAATAATACAGTAGGGAGCCAGCAGGTAGAGTGGTGGTTAAGGGGCTGACCCCCCACATGGCCAACCAAAGTTCATGTCCTGGACCTGGAGGCTTGTTTTCTCACTTTTTTTCTCTCTCTCTCCTGTTTCTCTCTAATGAGTGCATGTAATAGGCAGCAAATTAAAAATAATGATAATAAATAAAAGTAAATAATTATTTTAAAAAATAATACACTATAACAACTACTTACATAGTATTTACATTGTGTTAGGTATCATAAGTCATCTAGAGATATATAAAGCATATAGGGGAATATTTATAGGTTATATGCAAATATAAGGTCATTTTATATAAGGGACTTGGGCATCGACAGATTTTGGAATCCATGCTAGGGCCCTGGCACCAATCCCTTGAGCATAATGAGGAACAACTGTATACACACACTGATATAGATACACGCGTTTATTTACTCATTTATTTATTTATCAGGCCAAATAGATACACAGGGACTATCATTTTTCACATATCTTTAATACCACAGAAATACTCACTCAGCTTTTGGCATTTCATCCAAAATTAACTGTGACAAGTACTCTAAAACCAATGTGTATTTTTCTAAAATGAAAAAAAGAGAGAGAAAGAGAATGGGTTATTTTCAGTGAATCCTTTTAAGAGATCTATCATTTAGTTGTTATTTGAGAAAGAAGAAACTGTAATATAGTTAATGCTATTCAATCTGTGTATCTTACAGAATTATTGTTTTATGATCTATGAGTATTTTAAATTAAAAATTACCCATTTTGCTGGTAACTGTGACTCCAACCTGAACAGCCAAATATCTGATATAGAAAATATATTTTATACTTTGGCAGTTATTAAGGAAAATGACAGACCTGTAAAGGAAGAAGAAAAATAAGAAAGTCTTTAATTTGACAATTAAATAACTACTATCTCTCAAGCAAAATATCAGACACCCAGGAACACAAAAATGAGCAAAATCAGCATCTATCAGGAGAGACAATTATTAATCATCTAATCATATAAAAATAGAAAATAAAAATCTAACAAAGTCAATAAACTGAAGAAGCTTCTCTAAAAATGTAACATTTGAACTAAGTTCCAAAGGATAAAACAAAAATTAGGCAAATAAGAGAAAAGTAGCATTCCAGGTGGGAGAAATGCCAGAATATTATGTGTAAAAGCCCATAGTATTAATTGTAAAATTTAAAAAAAATAATTAGCTACAACTGAGATGAAGCTGTCTAACAAGACAACTTCTCAGCAGTAGCCATGGTGACCAAATAAAATGCTTTCAAGTTTCAATTAAAGGATTTCATAACCTGCCTGCCCACTCTTCTCTCATATACCCTATGGGAAAGCTTCTCAATTAACCTCTATCCCAAATGCATACAAATGTGTTAATACTTAAGCAGAATTAGAATTCAGTTATTTTTCCCACTTCTCTTTCATGTAAGAGTGAGATGTGCTATGGAAAATATTAGGTCATCAGGAAAAGTCATAACATATTTTCTTATGTTTTTCTGCACAAAAATGTGTCATGACTTTCTCAATCGCCTGTAAGGACTGCTGGAAGAACACACATACGCACACACAAATTTCAATCACCTGACATTTAAGGCACTCCACCCCCTACAAAAAGAATTCAGATGAATGAACATTGTTAGGGATAGGCTAGAGCTTTAAAAAATTCTAGTTGGAGGCCAGTTGGTGTGATGGTTGGGTGACTGGATGCCAAATGACCAAATGAATGGTTGGAGTCCCTGACCCCACAACTTGAAAATCACACCAGGTGCATGTGCATAAGTGCTCAAAATCCCAAAGGAAACTGGAGAAGAAGGGATTGCACCATGAATCTGGGCATGATTTCTCACTCTCTAGCCTATTTCCCTTTGTCTCTCTCTGGCGAGTGCACATTCCCTACAGCAAAAATTTTAAAAAAATAAAATAAAATAAAATTCGTTAGTGATCTCAAAGAAGCTAAAGATATTATCCAATAAAATAGCAGGCTGCTACAGCAAAGAGACAGAACTAGGGCGAAAGCTAGTTCTAGTTATGTTTTCAAGCTATTTAAAGGTAAGAACTGAAGCATACTAAATGCTTAAAATAGAATCTGGTATACTGAACTAATTAAAATTTACATTAATAGATATTTTGATGCAAGAAAGCAGTGTTTTCAAAGTTCTAAAGGGGGACCAGCAGTTAGCGTAATGGCTATGTCACTGGATTCCCACGTAGTCGACCGCAGTTCGAGTCCCGGACCCAGTGGCTTAAACTCACGCTGGGCGCGTGTGCGTGCGTGCCCAAGATCCCAAGAGGAGAATGGAGGAAAAGGGATTGCGGCGTGGCCATTCCCCCTGGGGGGTGATTTCTTGCTTTCTATCTCTCTGTCTCTCTCTGTCTGTCTGGTGAGTGCACGCACACTATAGCAAAAACCTCTAAAAAAAAAAAAAGGAAAAAAGGAAAAAAAAAAGTTCTAAAGGGAAAATATTTTGGAAGTTAGAATTCTTCATCTAAACAGTCATCAATTCATTGAGAAGGCAAAACAATGATGTAACTAGACATTTAAGAAGCTAGAAAGTTCATCAACTGTGTATCTTCAACATCAATTTCATTTAAAAAGACAGAACATAAAAATTACGGAAAAACGATTCAGACTGAGGACAATTAAGAAACAATTAAGGACCTGCAAATGGCGTGGTCATTAAGGGTGCTGGACTCCCACATGGCTGACCTACTGTTTGAGTCCCAGATATGGTGGCTTGCTTTCTCACTTTCCCTTTCTCTCTCCCTCTCTGTCTCTCTCACTCTCTCATTCAGAATAAATAAATAATTAATAAATAAAGTTAAAATAAAGTAATTCTTTTAAAAAAAATGAAACTTAAGTGTTGGCCGGGTAACGTGGTAGGTAAGGCATTAGACTCCCACATGGTTGACTGAAGTACAGGTCCTGGACCTGGTGGTTTGCTTTCTCACTTTCCTCTCTCTCGCTCTCTGTCTCTCTGGCCAAACTAAAAATTAATTAATTAATTAGTTAAATAGTTATTTAGGAAAAAGTGGTGAAACCATATGTGATCCAGGAGAATTAAAGGACAATATAAAGGAAAATGAGAGAATTCATAATGTTTTCAATTTTAAAAAGTGTATTTCAAACAGTAGTCTTAATGATCTAAAACTACATTTCCTAGCCAAACATAGATTATTTCTACAATGAATAATGTAATAGTGTGTATATAGTCATAATTTTGTAACTGTTGTATACTACTTGTCCATGTTTAGTTCAACATAGAAACAAATTGATATGGAACAGCCCAGAACCTTATAAATGACCTTAAAGAAATCTAGGGCTGATAACTACCTGGGCTTTCTATTCCCCCATGAGTTAGCTGTCCCTCCTCTGGGCTGAGTGGCTGGAGGCCTTAAGGAAGTTAAATTCCCTGCTTGTATTAGGGCAGACACTGAGCCTTTTTCCTGATAAGACACTCTAAACATACTGAAACCACCCCCAGTCCCCTCAACCTCATCCCTGCCCCCTGTAATTCACACATAAAAGACTGTGCTCAACTCTTGCCTGGGGCTGGAGATTCAGAGTGTTAATTCCTCCTGGGACTCACTAGTGGAATAATAAGGAGAAAGTTCTCCTTTTTCCTCTCCGGAGTGCTGTGTTTTCCTTTCTCAGCATCTGTTTTCCCACAACAAAATCACAAGAAAGTCACAAAATATTGTAAAGTATGATAAACCTTGGCAATATAAAAATAATCATGTAATTAGCCACATTGGGAGGCTCAGGAAAATAGCTAACTAGTAGAAAATGAAGATACATGCTAAATTATTCACTTTTTTTTCACAGCATAAAGTCCAGAGATAATATCTAAAGATAATATATGACCAAAAAGATTGGGATAATATCTAAAGATAATATATGACCAAAAAAATGATTGGGGAGCCAGCAGGTGGTGTGGTGGTTAAGGCACTGGACACTCCCTCATGGCTCACCACAGTTGGAGTGTGTGGTGGTTAAGGCACTGGACACTCCCTCACGGCTCACCACAGTTGGAGTCCGGACCTGACTGCTTGCTTTCTCACTTTCCCTCTCAATCTCTGGTCAAATTAAAATATAAATGCATGAATAAATTATATTAAAAAATGATTTCTGGAATCAAAAATTACTGTGCTTTTAAGTATTGCACCATTGGGTTACCAGGTAGTAGATATGAGAGTTTAATTTCTAGAAATAATTTAGCTAATAAACACAGAAACAATCCTAGAATTAGAATATCACCATTTTACAACTCCTAATAAATTAACAAATGTTTGTTATTATTAGGCGACAGCACAACAAAAAAGAAACATACTCTAGCCCCACTCCCCACCCAAAATTTAAATGTGATCAAAACTCTAGCAGTAATGACTGATTTACAAGATGTGTAGGGGGAAAAGAAACACGTTAAACGACAGTTCAAAGACTAGAAGCATCTCTACAGTCCACACAAGAAATGAAAACGACCACTCACCAACAAATAAACTGAAGGGGATGAAAGAGAGTAAGTGCAACTTACAAGGCATTTCATTCCCTCACAATAGTGTCAGAACTGAATTTAGAATTTGATTCAAATAATCTTTAAGAAAAAAAGGGGAAAAGAGAAAGAAAAGAGGAAGGGAGGAAAGGAGGAAGAGAAGAAGGGGGAAAAGGGAAGAAAAATGAAAAGGGGAGTAGAGGAAGGGAGGTACAAGGGTGAGGAAATGGGAAAGCATGGATTATGTATTGAAGCGAAATGTGAAGTCACTTAAGGGAAGGTGTGGAGTCCTAAAACCACACGCCGCCCACCCCAGACCTGACCAGTGCTGTGAAGATGGTATTCAAGACTCTCCCTCTCCTGATATATGTGCCCTACGTGATCACTGTCCCTTGAATATAATGAGACTGTCTCTCACATGATTAGGTTACTTCTGGGAGACCCCATCGCAGTAGAAAGGGGAGAGATTCTCCTATTGGCTTTGAAAACATAAACCACCATTATTGCAAGAGAGCCCCAGGGCTAACACCAGAGGGTGGAATGGAAAGGCTGAGAGTAAACCCCCAGAGGGTGGAATGGAAAGACTGAAAGTAAACACCAGCCAAAAACAAACAAGAAAACAAGGAACCTCAGTGCTCCAGCTCCAGGAAGAAGGAACTGAATGCTTCCCCAAATATGAAAGAGCACCCCAAACCTTCCCAGAAGGTAGCCCCAACAGACACTGAAATTTCGGCCTGGCGAAATGCTGAACAGAGAACTCAGTAAACCTGAACTTCTGATCCACAGACTAAACGGATAAATTGGTACTGTGTTAAGCCACTAAGTCAGTGATCATTTGTTAACAGCAATAATGATCTAATGCCTGCTCCTCAGTTAGGAATATATTCCTTTTCACTGCTCTGAAAGTCAGTTTCTATATACTTAAACCACTGAAACTTAAAGATGCAAAGCAATCATTTGATTAAAATGCAGATTCTGATTCTGCTGGTCTAGAGTAAAGCCCCAAAAACTGCATGGAGGAAAATGCTTGCTGCTGTCAATGTGCAGGTGTTCTTGGCTGTGCTCAGATTCAAAGTCCCTCAGTTTTTTCAATAGTCCAGATGCCCTAGCCTCCACTTTTGAAGGAGACTCCTTAAATACTGAACTCTCTCCTCTCTCTCTCTAGGGCTCAGACGTCTGCACTCAGGAGATCATAGCTTTTCTCTGCCTTTGCAAAAGCCTGGTGTCCCCCGGAACCAGCAGTGGCCCCTCCCCAGCCGTTGAGAGCGCAGCTGTTGCGTCACCAGAGGCTGGAGGCTGGC